AATCAATCAATCAATCAATCAATCAATCAATCAATCAATCGATCAATCAATCAATCAATCAATCAATCGATCAATCAATCAATCAATCAATCAATCAATCAATCAATCAATCAATCAATCAATCAATCAATCGATTGATTGTCCCCGATCGCGCATAGGTCAAGTTAAAGTCCTGATTCAAGCGTGGGGTTCCAATACCAACTGATACATGCTCAGTTGAGCGATGTATATGGAGCCAAGGATCCGCAAAGTGATGATAAGGACTCAGATGGACAATGCAGCGTTAGGCTGTTAGCACAACATCAACAAGCAATGAACATCCAGATACGTATGCAAATAGCACAATGTAGCGCAGCGGAAGACTCAAAGATATGACCTGACCTATGAAAGACTGACGCGACATCCCATCATACACCATACATGTGAGAGAGGGAGGAGGGAGCATATACATGGAAGAAAGGTCCCTCCTTGTACACTCACATGGGGGAGATACCACGGATGAAGAGATGGGGGAGAGCCGAAACGAAGATGGAGGTGAGGGAGAAGACCAAGATCGCGATAGCGAAGTCCAAAAACAGTCTCCTTGCCGAAGTCCAATCCATGTCTGCCGTAAAAATGTTGAATTAGATCCAGGGCCTTATGCCCGATGCAACCTCTGCCTGCAACCTCTCTCTCTCTCTCTCTCTCTCTCTCTCTCTCTCTGTGTCTGAAGGAAGAGGAAGAAGAAGAAGAAGAAGAAGTAGATGTCGTCTTTCCTCGCCGTCTCACCTCTAGGTAACGGCTGCCATGTACTAACTGCCTCTGTCTCTCCTCCTCTGTGCAGGTCGCTGGTGTGGGCCAGTTATGGTGCCCAGATGAAGACCGGCGATGCAGGTATGGCCTCCGCCCCTCGCCCTACCTACGCCTCTACTCCCTAGCGCAGTGTAGTGTCGCGCTGCTCCAGCAGCGTGTCGCCCAAGAAGTGAGCTACTCGAACGGTGTGTCTGCCCTGGCCTGGCCCAGCTATTTGTAGCACTGGGCCTCACTGGTGTGAATTTGTGTGCCTCTAGACCTGGCCTCAATACGACCTGCCTGGGTCCCCGCCAGACGTCCGGGCCGTCCCTGCTGATGCGGCAAGGAGCATCAACTACGTGACGAAAGTGGATCTGGCCCGAAAGGGCCTGCTTGCGTTCGTACCAGGCCAAAAACGTGGCCTTTGTCCGAACAGACCGAATGTCTGTTCCGACGAACTACAAGTCCGAAACGACGCCTAAACAGACAAAAATAGGACAACAAATAAATAAATAAATAAATAAGTGTTGCCTTAAATAGAAACCTACGGCCCTAAGGATGGCCATGGGCCTCCAGGGCGCGCGTTTGAGGGGCTTGCGGCCTGGGGGCCCCCAGCAACCGTCGGGCCCCCAAAATGGGGCCCGTGTGCAGGCTCAGCGTGTAACACACACACACACACATACACACACACACACACACACACACACACACACACACACACACACGCATACACACGCACACACAAATACACACAT